GGGGACGACCCGCTCTGCCACAGCCGCCCCGCAGTAGAGTAGTCCTGTCACACTGCATGCATAGATGTGAATAGTTAAAAAGGTGCCTTAAACTACTATTTGCATGTTTCCATCTCCATCATAGACTGTATATTAAAGACTCTTTTTATACAGTCTGGTCGCCATCTTTTAGTCTTCAAGTTGAATAGTTTCACTGCCTGTTTGAAAGCCAGTTTGAGAAGAGACTTTAGGGCCATGATGTATTTTATTCACCTTGTTGTGTTTTTGTCTCCACCAGATTATTGTTGATGATGATGATAGTAAGGTGTGGTCATTGTATGATGCTGGCCCAAAGAGCATCAGGTGTCCTATCATCTTCCTCCCTCCAGTCAGTGGGACAGCTGAGGTGTTTTTCCAGCAGGTGTTGGCTCTGACAGGCTGGGGCTACAGAGTCATTTCGGTGAGCTTGTCACTGAAAACATCTGTCTCTGTTCTCTCTGTTTTTACAGCTTCATATTTACTAGGGCTACAACTAACCATTATATTATTGTATAATTTATCAGCTAATGCTTTTCTCAATCTAATTGTTTTGTTTTATAAAATGTCACTAAAAAATTTCCTTGTTTTGCCCAACCAACCAATACGAAAATAATCAGTTTGCTGTGATAGAAAACGCGATAAAACATGAGATCGAACACACTGGAGAAACTGACACCAGAGGATGTTTGGTATTTTTGCTTGGTCGCCAAGTGCTTGCTCATGGTGGGAACTGTTGGGTCTCTGTAAATCATTTTATAAGAGTACCCTTACCCTAACCCCTCTGTAAATAAAATTGAATTGCATTGAACTGAATTGATAATTTATCGATAATCAAAATAGTTGCAGATGTATTGTCAACTGTCTAATCTATTAATTGACAAATTGTTTCAGTTAGGGATGTCCGGATCTGATAGATATCAGGCCTATCAGGCATTTTTTAACTGATCGATATTGGTTATACTGAGCTTTATTGACCTGATCCGATCCATTGTTTTATGTCACAGCTACTTTTACTTGTAAAGCTTTTCATGCATGGTGCAGCCATCGTCCACTCTCTCCACCGTCTCTTCTCCCACTCTGCTGAGCTGTGTGTGTGAGAGTCCGCTGTGAAACTCCGCAGCAATACATAGGATTGATTTTAATAACTTCAATGTACTTGAAGTGTGTAATGTGCACCTGTATTATTAGAAAAATACATAAAAGTATCAGATTGGGACTCTGTATCAGCAGATACTATATGTGGATATAATTAAATGACTGACATGTCTGACTCATGCCACTGAGACACAGAACAACACACAATGGTAAAAAAGGTAACAAAATAATACACTTGTTTATGTTGTCTCCAGCTGCAGTATCCGGTGTACTGGGATCTAATGGAGTTCTGTGACGGCTTCAGGAAACTTCTCGATCACCTGCAGTTGGATAAAGTAAGTCTGCTTTCCTCCTGCTTTCAGAGATGACTGATCTGGTCATCTGATCTGAGGTGTGGGTGGGTTAGGAAGGTCTGTCTCTGTGGGTCTTGGACAGGTATGACAGGATGAAGCCTTTCCTGATCCAGTGTCAGGTTACAAATACCAGAATATAAGTCTAGATTAGTAATGCTGCTGTTTGGCAGTCTTGGACACAAACTGACTGTTTTAATGATTAGCAGCAAAACAAAGAGCAGACAACTATAGGCTGACTGTTTCCTTGACCTTTCCTGTAGACTTAAGTAGGTAATCTATCAGATTCAAATGACATGACATAACACCTTATAATGTATAAATGAAAAAATAAAATGCCGTGAAAGATATTAGTCTGACTTCACTAAACAGAAATAAAAACAATTAACAAGAGCCAGTCTCCCGAGGATAGCAGAAGTGCTATCTTAAATTTACATATATTTACCTTGACTCGTAGCAGCTTGCTGGGCTGTCCACAGTTTGCAACAACTCAGCTGTGAACAGTGCAAGAAGACACTGTAGTAATGTGAATGTTTCAAAAATGGGGACTTTTTATATGTTTGTGGCAGCAAAAACAACACAGTCTTTCAGTAACTACTGCAACCTGAAATTATCTATACACTTTATTACTGACTAACGTAATGTAACTACACACACTGGAAAAGACTCACCTCCAACAACAAACCCGCTAGACTCAACCTTAAGGCTGACACACAGGTGTAGTTAGGCTGTGGGTGTGCTAAACAGAGATGGAGGAAAAAATAGATCCTTTACTTAAGCAAAAGTACTAATACCCCACTTTGAAAACTTCAATTACAATGGGGGTACAACAGAAAAAAATATCAGTAACTGATTTCAGAGAGAGAGTTTGGATTGAGATCTTCTGCCTCACAGTGACAGTAGGATATGCCATCATTAATTTTCAGATCATAATGAATAAGAAGACTTAGCTAAAGATAAAGCACTCTTTAACTGAGCATTAATGACTTGAACCTGATGTGAGCAGCAACATTGATGCAGTGGAGAGGTCGAACACGGCAGATAACTGTGAAGTATCGATTGATTTTATTAATACAGCTTTAGAACTATATAAAGATTAATTTTATTAACAAAATAATAATAAAATAAAAAAGATTTATTTAGCGTTTTACAACACAAGGTTGTACAACGGAATGCATTGCCTAACGGAATGCATTGCCTAATGGAATGACGTGAGATTGACTCTACAAATGATGATGATGACTGTAATGAGCTCAACCCCATGGTAGACATCACATGATGCCGCAGTAGGCATCAATAATGTGGTTATCATTACAGCCCTTGATAGCTGCATACTGGCCAATCTGGAATTAAGGAATATGACTGTCATTAATGTGGGCATGTTACCTAATCACCCTTTTGTACTCTCTTCACTCTTTGAACTCTGTCACCTCAACCTTCAGGTCCATCTGTTCGGGGCATCTCTTGGGGGATTCCTGGCTCAGAAGTTTGCAGAGTGCACACACAAGTCTCCCAGAGTGCACTCATTGATACTGTGTAATTCATTCAGTGATACCTCCATCTTTAATCAGACATGGACAGCAAACAGGTGATTTTTAATAATTCCCGCACAGATTTTCCTTTGAAGGTTGACATTCATTATTAATGTTTGGTTCCCATGTTCCTTCTTAAAAGTTTCTGGTTGATGCCAGCTTTCATGTTGAAGAAGATTGTTCTGGGGAACTTTGCTAAAGGACCTGTGGACTCTAAAATGGCAGATGCAATTGACTTCATGGTTGACAGGGTAAGTGGACATGTGTGTTCATATCTGTTACTGAGGTGGTTCATGTTAGAGTGTCACTAGAGTGTAAAGCAGGAATGTCAAACTGTCGGCCAAGGGGCCATTTCCGGCCCTACATTCCCTATCCTCCGGCCCACAGCATAATGTCAGAATATAATACTGGATATCCCCCAGTGCGATAACTACAGGTTTATGCAGACCATGAGAAATGAGATTTGGAAATCTAAGGGTATTTAAAGACTGGATATGATTGATCCCTATGGTAGGAAACTACTGACATTTGTACAAGCCAAAGACAAGTACAGTATAGTTAGCATATTGACCTATATGCAGATAAGGGTGCAGCTTTCTAGCTATTCTGGACAGACAGTGAGTATACCCAAATGATCAAAATCAGAAGGAGCTCTGTAAAACAGGAATAGGGAGAGAGAAAGTATTGTTTCCAAGATTTACAAATTGTTGAATGGCTCCCAAGCAGATTAATGGAGTGCCCTTCAAGGCAATTGCAATTTATTTGTTAACCTCTTTCTGTCTATGTGTTGTGTGTGCTGCAGTTGGAGAGTCTGAACCAAAGTGAGTTAGCATCGCGGCTAACACTCAATTGTCAGAACTCTTATGTGGAGCCGCACAAAATAAAAGATGTTGCTGTGACCATTATAGATGTAAGTGCTAAATCATCTCTTCCCATCGGGATATACCAGTATTCATTATTTATGCAATAACCCGAATCACGTTTTCTCTGGGAATGGTATGTAGGTGTTTGATCAGAGTGCTCTGTCACTGGAGGCGAAGGAGGAGATGTATAAACTGTATCCTAATGCGAGACGAGCTCATCTGAAAACAGGAGGAAACTTCCCGTACCTGTGCAGGAGCGCTGAAGTCAACCTCTACATACAGGTATGCTCCTTTAAAGGGGAACTTGGCAACTCTAGCCATTTCTTCGCTGGTTTTCACTTTTGTCATCGCATCAATGGGGGTCACCATTTTCACCGGAACAGGGCATGTTTTGACCATCCAAGATGAGTTTCTAAACGGGTTTATCTAAGCTGAAAAAGCTTGCCAATTCCCCTGTTTAACAAATGATGAGTAGTACTCGTTTGTATCAACTGCAGATGAAGACATCTTTATCTTCCAAGGTGCCTTTGATCAAGGGCACTGACTGAGATAAGAACGATAGCTGTTATACATGTACTGATGTGTGGGGGAAACACCAGGGTTGAACATGCAGACTCCACACAGAAGAGGCCGTGCCCCAGCTGGGATGGCATTCAGCGAGCGAGAGAGGAGAGATGAGAGAGCATGGTGAGCGGATGGAGCGATGAACTATACCCTCTCCTCCGCTCAGTAGCTGTGTTTCTTTCTGCACCCCCCAATTTAAAGCCACTCGGCGCCTCTCTGTTTAATACCAGTCTGCACTCCAACTTCAGATTTCACCCCAGTCTCTACTATAATCTCTCAAACGACTCACTCCAAAAAACATTAAAAAGTTGTTGTATTCATTTAAACCATAGTTTAAGCTGGATGATAAAGCTGTATGTGCACCAGAGCACGACACAAAACGCCCGAAAAACAGCAGCACACTCCCTGCAGCTCATCACAAGATGACAACTTCAATTGTCGCATTTTTACTCAAAGATTGGAAGGTATGTAGTCCATGGTCAACTGTATTAACGGTATGCAAATTTTTGTTTGAGAAATGCCTGGAGCCTCTCTTTGTGGTCTTAAGTAGAAATATATTGCAGACAAGCTTATACTGTTCACCTCACTCGATGAATTAACCATTTACCTTAATCTCTTTATTCTGTTAATCAAGACGTGAAACAGCAACACAGTAGCTTTAGTGCTCCTCTTCTCCCCCCCTTTTTCTTTTTTTTTTACATTAATATTGCCTGAAAATAGTAAATAATGGTAAATGGTAAATGGACCTGGTACTTGTATAGCGCTTTTCTCTAAACGTCCCTTCCGACCACTTCAAGCGCTTTTGCACTACGTGCCAAATTCACCCTTTCACACACATTCACACAACGATGGCAAAGTCCATCGAACAGAAACTAACTCATTCATACACATCCATTGATTGTAAGAGGAAATGTTGATTTACATTTGTGATAAATTATTTTCATTCAGTGGTAGCTCAGACCAGAGTCCTGCACAGGTCCAGTATTGTAATTCCGCACTGGCAGAGCTCAGAACTGGAACCAACCCATTACCTGTGCTACAGACACAATTATATTTTTACATGCTCAATTTGATGTGTAACACGTAGAAACATTAATTAAAATCCTAATTAACTGTTTGGCTGCTGCGTCAACACAGCCAGCTGAGCACCGGTTTAAACAATATGACATACAAACTTTACAGCAGTTTAGTGGTCTGAGAGTTGTGTTATAGGAAAAATTTACCAATAAAAGAAAATCCTGGCAGCTGATTAGGCTTGATGATATTTAACTGATTTAAATATTAAAAAGCCTGCACAGTCATTTTCATTTCTGATTTCTTCAGGAAAAACGACACGTTTTCGTTCTTACCCACTGCCTGCCCGCAATTAATTTACTTTCTGATTCTGATTCTGATTAATTTACTTTTACCCACCGGACCCAGTGCAGGACTCTGGCTCAAACTGTAATCTTGTGATTTATGTGGAGTAGTCAGACCTATCTCCACAGTGTCGGAGCTTGTTGTGAACGATACAGCCATGTGATACAGAGAAGACGTATGTTTGAATATACTCCAGTGTGAACAGTCTACATACTTAATCGTTTAGTAGGCAGTGTAGTAGTTAGTATGTTATTTTGAACACAGCCATTATTTTTTATGTCCATCCAGAATAAACATCCATTAAAATCCGCTTAGAAATCATAAAAAGAAGACCCTTCAGAACATGCCTGTTCATATTTTTAAGTTTTCTTCAGTATCAAAATAATCCCGTGATGGTTGTCTGTACATCCATGGCTACACTGCAAACAAGAACTGCTTATAGCTAATTTTACAGCTACATTACAACAGTATATTTGATGAGATTTTAAAGGGTCTTTATTTCCTGATGTCTTTAATCATTTCTGTTGTCACATTGTTTCCCAAATATGTATGTTGGTGTTTGCATGTTTCCCAAAAATGTGAAAATGCTCCAGGTGGAATTTAACTGGCATAACTGATGAATGAGTGTTCCCCACACAATACAGTTGTATTGCTGTAATGTTTTGATTGATTTGTGTTCTGATGGTGTTCTGATAAGGTAGCTTTTTGTTTGTGTACAGATTCACTTACGTCAGTTCCACGGGACAAGATACGCTGCCATCAGTCCTGCCATGGTGAGTGCTGAGGAGCTGGAGGTGCAGGAGAGTCACCTGAGCAGTAACCAGGACTCTGATGATGACCAGTGAGACGACGTTTACCTGCAGGCTGTCTCCTCTAAACATTTCCAACAGTTTCTATTACTCTTCTCCTGAATGCATCATTTCACAGGACATTCTTCAGATTTTCTATGGAGCTCAACAGCCAATCAGCGAGTCGACGGAGAATATTTTTATTTTACAGATGAAGCAATATTTTGATAATGATCTGTACATAAATAGTGCTGGGCCGCTTTGCTTTAAAAACATATGACACCTTGCCTTATGTGGATTTAATCTCATAATTGTTGCACTCATATGCCTGAACTGTTTGCCTCAAGTGTTAATTTAGGTGTGTGATATATAACAGAAAGATAAACATATATCTTAAGGTGTTTGTGTAATTCAGTGAAATGAAGTAACATTTTTTTCCATTTGTTTTGATATACAGGAAATTGACATGCTGTGTTAAGTTTGTAATAACCTTCAAACTCTAGCAGTGTCTCAGCACATGGAGTCCATCTATTGAACTGCCAAAGCTTCAGCCTCTGAAACACAAGTTAGGTTTTTGCAAACTGAAATTCCAGAGTCACTGTATGTTTTGTACTGTCAAGCTTCAGAAAAGAACATCCTTTTAAAAACAGTCACTGCCTTTAAAGTACAAATGTTTCTTCATATATAAACTGCTGTGGGGCCATTGGTCAAAATGCTCTTGCAGCTTTAAGTCATCACTTTTCTTTCTCTGCTTCTGAACACTGAAAAAAACATTTTTAAATTATGTGCTGTGCCTTAGAGGTTTAACATTCAGCAGAGAACCAGTTGAATGTCAAAATTTGGTATTCTGTAGAACCAATGAAGAACAGCAGAATGTGCTTCAAATGTTCCCCTTCACCTAGTTAACTACAGTATAACCAATTATGTCAACCATACATAGTCCATAGTACCCCCTGTTTCAGCCCTTGCTTCAAAATTTAAAATTATGTAAAGCTGTTATTATTATTTTTATATGACCAATGTATTAAATGTGAAAGAGGTTGCTCATAATGAAAAAAATTATCACAGGACAACATAAACAACATAGCTTTGTCGTGCAGCTATTGTCTGTATACAGAGGAAAAGCTGTTAAAAGCCACTGTAAACTACCTGCTGAGCAGCAAACTGACAGACAACCTGGTGAACTTAGTTTCAAGGTTATTTTAGTGTCATTTACAGCACAAGATTGTAAGTTTTAATTTAGATATACACAGATCAGCCATAACATCATGAGCACTGACAGATGGAGTGAATAATACTGATTATTCAAGATTCAAGAGGTTTATTATCATATGTACAGTAAGAAACACAGTGGTTGTACATACATGAAAAATCTTACTTTGCCTGGACTCCCCGAGGAACACACATAGCACAAGATTATCTTGTTTCATAGAGACCTGTCTAGTTTGGTGGGATAATTAAGCAGCAAGTGAACATTTTTGTCCTCAAAGTTGATGTGTAAGAAGCAGGAAAAATGGGCAAGTGTAAGGATTTAAGCAACAGGCCAAATTGTGATGGCTAGATGACTGGGTCTGAGCATCTTCAAAACTTGTGGGGTGTTCCCGGTCTGCAGTGGTCAGTACCTATCACAAGTGCTCCAAGGAAGGCAAAGCGGTGAACCGTAGACAGTGTTATGTGTGGACAAGGCTCATTAATGTATGTGGAGAGTGAAGGCTGGCCCGTGTAGTCTATCCAACAGTTGAGCTAATTGCTAAAAAGGTTAATACTTGTTCTGATTGAAATGTGTTTGCAGTTTGTTGGTATGTGGTTGATTGGTGTAGTTCCCTTAATGCTACTTGTAAATCAATAAAAAATTCTTGTCATGAAATTTAAAAAAAAACTAATTTGTATGATGAAGTGCTGAGGAATCTCACAGTCTGAGAGAAGAAGCTGTCTTTAAGTCTGGTGGTAGGGCAGCAGAAGCTTCTATTCCTCTTCCTAGATGGCAGCAGGGTGAACAGCTGTGGCTGGGGTGGTTACTGTGTTTTAGTATCCTTTGGGCTTTGCGCAGGCACCTCATCAATATCACTGAGTACCAGGACCTTCTAGGCATTTTTAATCACGGGAGAGTCCTCCTGTCCTGGGCCGTGCACATCCCATGCTAGTTTGTGATGTAGGTTGTTTTCTGTGCACCACTTGGCAAGATTGTTGATTTCATCACGATATAACAAAGTCTCATCATTGTCTGAAATCCAGCCAATGATGGTGTTGTCTCCATGTCTGAGGATGCAGTCATGGGTTTACAGCGTGAACAAGGAGGGGGCTGAAGACAGAGAACTCAGGGGCTTTGCTGTTGAGCACTAGAGTGTAGGAGGTGTGACAACTAATCCAAACTGTCTGGGGTCTGTTTATCAGGAAGTCCAGTATCCAGTTTCAGAGTGTGGTAGGCTGAAAGTGCTGAGTTTACCAATCAGTTTCACGGGGGAAATTGTCTTGAATGCTGAGCTTAAACACTGAGTGTTGTTTTTCTCAAGGTATGAGTGGAGGGCAGTGGAGATGGTGTCCTCTGTGAGGGATGTTGTTCTTAATGTGCTGGAGAACCAGTTCCTCAAAGCACTTCACCATAATGGGGGTGAGTGTTACAGGGCGGTAATCATTTAGACTAGATACTGCAGACTTTTTACAGGGATAGATGGTGGCTATCTTGAAGCAGGTGGGGATACTCTCCTGTGGCAGTAATGTGTTAAAAACGTCAGTAATGACATCAAATAGCTGACTGGCACAAGTTTTTAGTCACTATCTTTATACATGTGCCAGTCTTTGCACTCAAAATGGTAAATGGACTGTAGTGCTCTAAACTACATGCCACATTCCCATTCACACATATTCATAAACTGATGGCAAAAGGCCATCACAAACAGACACTATCTTTGTAGCTTCTAGGAATATTCATATAGACACGTTCCAGTGTATTTGCTTCCTCTGGTGGGGATGTTGACATGCTGGTGAAATCTAACCAGCAACAATAAAAACTTATTTTTTTAAGTTATTTTTTGGGGCCTTTTCATTCCTTTATTAGATATAGACAGCTGAAGATCAACAGGAAAGGTGGTAGATAGAGAGGGAATGACATGCAGCAAAGGGCCACAGGTCAGATTCAAACCTGGGCCTCTGCAGCAACTCCGTATATGGGTCGCCAGCTCTACCGACTGAGCTAACCGGGTGCCCAAAGAGGAAACATTTTCACAATAACACAGCATTTCACCTTGATATTGACCGATATCAGGAAGTTGTCTCTTAACAGGTACAATTCCAATGTTCAGTGGTCTCCCAAATAGGATTCCAAGTGGGCTGAGCAGCAATGACAAAACAACTTCTTTCCCTCATTATTTTTAGTTCAGTGAAATCCATTTGCAGATGGTCTAATGGTCTTCCTGGAGGTGGGCATTTAAATGTCCCTACATTGTAAGTGGCACAAATAATATAGCTATGACAAGATTTATGGGAGAAGGGCAGGGCTTGTCATCTGACCCATGCCACACGATCAGTGAATGAGCAATCCGAAAGAAGAAAGATTTTTAAAAAACAGTTTAATGCCTTCAACTGCTTTCTTTTTTAAAGGGTATTGATTTTGACATGACCTGTATGAAAATTTTGGTGTCATCAGAACATGCTCTGCACCTTTGACCTACATCATACTTTTTGTCCCCACATTCATGACCCCACCCATCTTAGTTAAGGACTTTCAGAGACATCTTTCACCAAACTGTGTTCGTCATGTGTTCATATGCTAAATCCCTGCCCTGTTTAACAAATGTGGTTGTTTTGTTTTGTTATTCCCTGTGGAAATCAGAATGTCTCTCCTTCTCTCCACAGATGTGGCCCCTGAATCTACCAGAGAAGTTAGGTTTTTACTAGCTACATTGATTGTACACTCTGGCATACTTTCTTTCTGTTTATATTCAAATAAAAAAAATCTGAACATAACCTCCTACAAAGCATAAATTACCATGGCAATCTAGTCAGGTTTAAAGAAAGTCACCTGACATTGACTGGCTTTAGGTTCCACTACTCACTAACCCACTGATCTTGTTTCATTGTACATAGTAGTCTGTGAGTCATGTTTAAACAGAACAACAACCAAAGTAAATCAGGAGGATAAATAGTTGATTATTTTGAAAATCTGGGTTTATGAAGGACATGAATTCAAAATTCAAAGTGAAGTCATGAGTCATTGGTGTTAAAGATTCATGACTTGTGTCCACACCTGTTTGCACATAAAATGCAGTAGCATGCAAGTATGTAAAAGATCCACAGCATTAGAGACAGAAATATAAAACCTCAGTTTTTTTCCACTGGGCTTCTAGTATGTCAAGGTGACTTTTCTTTACCATAAAATACATCAAACCATTAAAAGCACCCAAGACACCATGTGAAAGTCAACTCATGATAACAAAAGAAATAAAAGGTTTGTGTGAACTCTCAACAGTGCACTTATTTTTTCGCAAACCACCACCATGGTAACAACATTTATTAGATCTGAAGTCAAACCACCAAAACTACAATTTAAAGTGACAATTGGAATTTTAAACTAATGCATTAAAAATTTAAACGTTTAGCATCTGAAGCCCAAAGGAATAAATAAGATAAAAGCATTTGTGCAAGTTTAAACGTGGGGGTCAGTTCACTGTCAATTCAAACAGATGGAAGTCAGTTTTTTTTAGAAACACAGGCAGCTAATAACTGATGACATCATTGTCTCTTCAGAATGCCTCAGTGAATCAGCAGTCATTTCTGTCACGACAAAAAAAAGAAAACACCAAGAATATGAAGCTGTCATCAAATAATTATTGCTCCAAAATCTAGGAAGAGTTAGAATGAGTTGACGTGTTGATGTTTTGAATTTGCTTTTCACAAGAACGGTTCTGAGCATGTCGATGTTGTCAGTCAGTAGAAAAAGGTGCCAAAGTCGCCCATGCCATTGCGTCTGAACTGGTTTCCCTGAATGGAGACGAAGATCTGGTGGTCCAGATCTGGGACAGCTCGGCTACAGGACGTGTCCTTGTTTCTGCTCAGCTGACGACTAAACTGCCACTTTCTGCCTGAGTTGGAGGCTACAACACTATCGATGCTGTTGTTGTTCTCTGCTGAGTCGGGGTGAATCTCTGCCGAGCCGCTGCTGGTCGGGTGTGTGGAGATGAGAAGAGGATCTGGAACATCTCCTTGCCGTTTGTCTTCAGCTGTTGGTCCAGCAGGGAACAAAAGGTCTGATCAATATTCCGCCTTCTTATCCACATCTTTATTTCTTTAACATTATATTCTGACTGTGTAGACTGTGCAGCTGGCCTCATTAACAAGGTCTCCACCTACCACACAGTTCTGACTCTTATACCCACCCTGTTTATACAGTATGCATTACATTAATGCACCCCCGTTTTCTGCACAGTCTTCTTTTCTTATCTTTCTTAATTTATTTATATTTTGAAAGTACTTTATTTTTCTGTGTGATTTGTATATTTGTATTTTTTAATGCACCAATTCACATTCCTCGTGGGTGTAAAAACCTACTTGGCAATAAACATAATTCTGATTCTGAACTCTACCTACCTTCACTTTCACCCAGAGGAACTCTGTTGTGTTGTTCCCCATTGTTGGGTTTCACTACAATCACCCCATAGCCTTCATTGTTGTGGATCACATTGTTGTCCATGGTGATGGACGGCATCGCATCCATCTCATCAGCAAAGTCCTGCACACCCACCAAACACAATCATTTACACATTTAATAATTGCATTCATGCATTGCAATTAGTAACATTTGTATACTTCCAATTTCTAAGTTTATTAAATGTTTCATAAACATAGGAACATCTTGACCTTTGAGTCACTTCCTAGATTCTCTCACAGCAGGGTGTCTAACATCTGATGTGTCTAGACACCACATGTTCTGGGAAATATGCTCAGTGGTCATTCTTGTCATAACTGTATAACCTAATGATCAAAGTCATTGGTTATTCAAAATAAAAACATGATATTCTATCATGAGTCATGATGACAGGTCTTCACCTACCACACAGTTCTGTCCTTAGAATCAGAGGTTTCGCATTTCACAGCTATGTTCTAATCTAACTGAATGACGGGTTTACTTCAACCAAACCAAAGTGTTTTGAGAGTTTGCATGAAGTGTCCTCCTATTGGCTGCATTGTTGTGTTTCATGATGTCCTACACATCACCTGTGATTCTCCTGTCAGTTTGCATGCTGAGGGGGAAACATCTGAACATGAATAAACTATTTAAATTCATCTTGTTTTTTCTCACCTTGATGAGGATCCCGTCTTTACAGTGATGGATGCCGTTACCAACCAGCCTGCAAACACTGCCGGGGTAAATCTCCACGCCAGCCCCCTGTAAACAAAACACAGCAGCAACATAGAGACAGAGTGAAACGCATCATACCTCACGCCCACAAGGGGGGGAAACAATCAGTGCCGCAATATTCAGCTCCACCTCCTTGCTTATTTTTCGATTAGCGATTTTATAGACAAATGCAACTGGGAGGCTCCTTCACACAATACAAAGTCAATGGAGAGTGACAAATTCTTTCCCCTTCTGGGGTGGGCGGGACATAATTACTCTGCATCTATGACTCTCTATCCACATATACAGCCATATTTACATTGAAGAAACTAACTTAACTGACATGGAAATATTAGCTGATTGATAGATTTTGTATGTTAAACAATAAATAAGTACAAAGTACAGACATGCTTTGAGCCTCACTCAACATAAGTGTTGCTGCATCAGGTACAGGAACGACTGTGAGAGTCACAACTGTAACATGTCCTATTTCTCAGAGAGGAGGGAGCAGAAGCCTTTCCTTTGGTATTTTCACCTTGAGAATTCCCTCTGATTATAATGTGTGACTGAAGCTGCTGTGATGTATGACTTTGAACAGGAACCTTGGGCCCATGGGTGGACGTGCTCACATGGCCACTTATTCTGAATGCAGATAAGAAGCAGTGTTTTGGCCGTTGACAAAACGCATAAACCATTACACACAGGTGACAGGTATGTTAGTTATTTTAAACACATTTTCAGCAGCTAAGATTGTCATTAAGCTGTATGTTTTCTATATTTCAATCAAAAATGTGTCCTTCAGTGACAGCTGCACCCTACATTATCTGATTTAAAACAGGATGAATGACATCAACAGTCCATTTTTTCAGTGCAATATACAAATGAATACACATCTATAATACTTTTACAAAAATGAAAAGGTCATGTTTTAATAACTTAAAGCAGGAATTATAACCTACATAAGTGCTCTGAAGTGGCATATGGAATATTTTCACAGATTCAGAGAGTGAAAAACTATTTATCTACTATAATTCATGTAGACTAATTGATAATATAATATTAATTAAAGTGATAGTAATCCCATAAAAAGACCTAAATCACCAACAACAAACGGCCCTGACAGCTGTTTGTGAGGTAAAGCCTCAGAGGAGTTTCATCCTGTGCTGGATGATGTTGCTCACTTACCTTGGAGCCATAAAGGTCACACATGCTCATGGTGAGATGGGCTGATGTTCGGACAATAACTCCAGTGGTCTCACACTGCAGCACACAGTTCTCCATGTTTAGAGCCCCCTGACGTACACCTGGCAGAAACCAAAGAGAATTAAAGCTGCAAGCAGCATTGGGCGGGACCTCGCACTCCGCGCAACTCGGGGCGTGCTGCGGCCGCGTCACGTGCCGTCGTAACACGTGCTGACCACAACATGAAGATTTCAAGTAAATCTGACCAA